TGAACTCAAAACCTCAGCTCTACTCAGACAGGAAGTTCAACTCAGAGTAAATGTTTAACTGAGGTCAATCGGTGGGGGTTATAGATATAAACGTGTGTGTGTGTGTGATCTTCTCAGTGCCTGGGCACACAGGAGGTAATTATATGAGACTGCATTTCCATGTCTGTCACGTTTTTCGAGGACACACCTGCCTGGATCTTCTCTTCGGAACCAACCAGTTCTGCAGTTATTTACCAGTTAAGCCTCTCTCTCTCTCTCTCTCTCTCTCTCTCTCTCAGCCCATGAGCAATGCAGCCAGACTCAGGCAGGCAAAAGAAGACACGTGGAAGTGTTTATCTTAAAAGAATACTTCTAGTATTATATTTTCATAGTTGTGTCCATAATTTCTCTTTCCGAGATCTGGAACAAGGTGACGTCACTAAAAAAAAAAAGAATACTATTGACCAATCACGTTGGAGCTGGCTTTTGTTGAATGCAGGTTAACAGTCTTTGTGGAGATTAATAGAGGCTGAACACATTAGGTGAAATATAATCTGGGATCTGGCTATCGCGTGATGATGATTTCGATTTTTATTGGTTTGAAGTAAGCTTGTAAACTGGGGAGGGATTTCAGATGAATTGCAATCTTCTACGACTCTGAATGGATTCACAGATTAAATATATAGATTTCTGTCTGACATTTTTATAGTTTATTCTTGTCATATTGACAGAACAACAAAGTCAGAACTGTGTCACGAGGACAGGGTGCAACACCAGGACGCATTAGCGTCTGGGCACATGTCGGCTTTAATAACTTAAGAACTAGCCTTTAAAGAATTTCATCATTAATCCTTTAACTGATAGCATTGATCGATCAAAATTCATATTATTGTTAAACAGTTAAAAGAAATATTCCCCAAATAAGGACAAGACAAAACACTACAGTGGCACACTAAAGACTTGTGTCAAATAATGCACATGCCTTGAGAAAGAAAATATATAGAAATACATAGCCGTTATAAAACAGGTGAGAACCGTAAAAGCCATACAGACATGACACATAAAACAAAATACAACAATGTTGTCTGTCTGTGAACTAAAAAAACAAAGATCCGTGTTCTTGTTGAGTAGAGTCATAATTACTGGGAGGAAAGTAAGCGTGAAGCGGTTGCTTTTCTGCTTTTCCACATAAGTATAAATTATGCAGAACTCTCCTGGTAGTTGAACTTGGGATCCAGCTGTTCTGCTCAAATGCTGCAGATGAAATTGAATGATGGATAATGGACACTAATCTTATCAGTTAATTATCGGCTTGTCTCAAAGTGTCTCAAAACTTTCATTCTCTCTACTGACCAACAGGGGGCGACTCCCCCAGTTGTAAAAAGAAGTCTGGTTGTATAGAAGTCTATGAGAAAATGACTACTTCTCTCTTGATTTATTACCTCAGTAAACATTGAAAACATGAGTCTAGTTCATTTAGTAAATTATGGTCCATTTAGAGCAGGGGTCACGGAACTTTTTGAAACTGAGAGCTACTTCAAGGGTACTGAGCAGTACGAAGGGCTACTTGTTTGATAAACTTCTTGAATAACAAAGTTGCACAGATCACCTTTTAACAACAATAATATATGTGAAGAGACTGTTTGATCACATGTCAATGTTAATTATTCCTCACAATAATTATTCACAATGATTGTGTATTTTGTTCAAAATCGCACCTGTTATATTTTTGTAAAAATGAACACTTCTAAAAAAATTTAGGAAATCATTAACTGTCATATCTTCACATCATGACTCGTTTGTACTAACGACTACCTTCGTAACATTTTTAAACAAATCATGAACTCTGTCCCATGTTTATACAAATTATCAGTTATGCAAGATAAAAAAAAATCAACTCTTTCACATGTTTAAATTAATCCTATTACATTAGTACTAATCACAACATTTTGGGAAATCTGGGTCAACTTTGCATTGCGCAATGAAGCCTGCATGCCGGCCTGTAGTCTGTAGTCACCAGCTTTTTTTTGGGTACCTTTTTCTCCACGAAGAAACTAGTAAAAAGTCTCGTCTATAGCCGAGGGGGGGGGATCCAACCCTCCGAGGCACGCGAGCGTCTTTGGTCGCCTGCGTTCAAACCTCTAGTCTGGGCCTTTTCAAATCGTACTGCGTTGCCTCGCCTCTACCCCCGCCACCTACGAGTTGTTGCCCCGCGGCTTGTTCCGAGGACTGACGGACCTGACGATGGTGTGCGATTGCGGCGGGGGTGGTGCGTCCGGTGCCAACGGGAAGCGCCCGCCATTCGGAACCTGAAAACCTAGTGCGGTGCGGCGGCCTCTTCCTTTTAAAATCGACATGAATGCAAGCGTTTTTAGCGGTCATGGACGGAGCTCCATGGGGACCTAGTGCTATTTTTAGAGCATGCGTTGCGGGCGACTCGCATGGACCCTGCGGGCGACCAGGTGCCCGCGGGCACCGTGTTGGCTACCTCTGATTTAGAGTCAAATAGACCATAAAGTGGGCTTGGGAGTTGTCCGTGTTTTCATCCTCAGAGTGTAGATATGTCTGCTGCCAGCTGTCTGCTGACTGAAGATCAGTTTCTGTGCTCCATCTGTCTGGATGTGTTCACTGATCCAGTCGCCATACCATGTGGACACAACTTCTGTAAAATCTGTATCACTCAACACTGGGATATTCATGTCCAGTCTCAGTGTCCAAACTGTAAAAAGCTTTTCTACACAAGACCTGAGCTGCAGGTCAATACTTTCATCTCTTTGATGGCTGCTCAGTTCAGACAGTCAGCTCAACAGAAAGCCAGCAGCAGCAGCTCAGAGCAACAAGCTGCCAAACCAGGAGAAGTTCCCTGTGACGTCTGCACTGGAACCAAACTGAAGGCCCTGAAGTCCTGCCTGGTGTGTCTGGAATCCTACTGTGAGACTCCCCTGGAGCCTCATCTGACAAGATCAGGTCTGAAAAGACATCAGCTGATCGACCCTGTGGAGAACCTGGAAGGCAGGATGTGTACGAAGCACGATAAACTGCTGGAGCTGTTCTGTAAGACCGACCAGATGTGTGTCTGCATGCTCTGCACTGTTTTAGACCACAAGACCCATGATGTTGTTCCTCTGAAAGAAGAATATGAAGGAAAGAAGGCCGAGCTGGGGAAGACTGAGGCTGAAATTCAGCAGATGATCCAGAAGAGACGACTGAAGATTCAGGAGATCAAACACTCAGAGGTGCTCAGGAAGGAAGATGCAGACAAAGAGATGGCAGATGGTGTTCAGGTCTTCACCGCTCTGAAGGAGTCTGTTGAGAGAAGCCAGGCCAAGCTCATCAACACGATCAAAGAGAAGCAGAGAAAGACAGAGAAACAGGCTGAAGGCTTCATCAAAGAGCTGGAACAGGAAATCTCTGAGCTGAAGAAGAGAAGCACTGAGGTGGAGCAGCTCTCATGCTCTGAAGACCACCTCCACCTCCCCTAGAGCTTCAGGACCCTGAACGCTGCTCCACCCACCAAAGACTGGACAGAAGTCAGAGTCAGTCCACCTTCATATGAGGGGACTGTGAGGAGAGCTGTGAATCAGCTGGAAGAGATGCTCAGTAAACAGATGAAGAAGCTGCTCACTGAGGCCGAGCTGAAGAGGGTCCAGCAGTCTGCAGTGGATGTAACACTTAATCCTGATCCAGCACATCTTTATCTCATCCTGTCTCATGACGGAAAACAAGTTAAACATGTTGATAAAGGTCCCTCTCTGGCCGACGGACTCGGTGCCAAGGGCAACCCCTCTTGGTGCATCGGAAGGAGACTTTTTGCCAAATCGGTCAAACATCCCAAGGGCACCCGCTCTCTGGCCGACAGCCTCGGTGCCAAGGACACCCGCTCTCTGGCCGACAGCCTCGGTGCCAAGGACACCCGCTCTCTGGCCGACAGCCTCGGTGCCAAGGRCACCCGCTCTCTGGCCGACAGCCTCGGTGCCAAGGGCACCCGCTCTCTGGCCGACAGCCTCGGTGCCAAGGGCACCCGCTCTCTGGCCACTTTTTAATGATAAAAAAATTGAATAATAATAATACTAAGCTCCCTAACTAGCCACAAAAACAGGAGATAACAGGAATTACAAAATAAATGGCAGTGAACCCCTAGACAGCTTCCTCAAAGTGAAACAACATAGTTCTATAGTCAGGAACAATCAAAGCCCCAGGTATGGCAGTACCAATGCTCTCGGCACCAGCAGCGAACCAACAGCTCCACAGGCCAAGAAAAAACAAAAGAGGGAAAACACTGGATCTCGGGGTTGATATTCAGCTCCACTGATGAACTGCGGACTCTCAGGTGTGGGTGCTTCAGCATCACAAAGGGGCGTGGCAGACCTGAAACACAAACACAGCTTTCTTCTAAAAAGAGGCATATTTAAGTCAGTCATAGTTATCTCCTGTTTTTGTGTACATAATGGGAACAACTTCTTGGTTCACAGTACCACCATTTTCATCCTTTCCCTCTTCTTTTAACATAGGCCGTGAAACCCATCTTCGCATCAAGATCCCCTCTTCTGCATAGAATGACTGTACCATTTTCTCATATGCTACCTCCGTCACTCCCTCAAAACATTTAGCGAGACTAGCATCAGTTTTTTGAGCTTCAATCAGGGACTCACGTGTCACAGGCAATGCTGACAAAATCACTGTGGGAGTGGATAGGTCCATGTCAGGAGGTGTAAAATCCGACGATCAAAGGGGGGCAGCTTGTCTTCTGCAAAGACATGTGCAAGTATGGAGTCGGGCCAGGTTGGTTTCCTCTTCCTGTTTACGAGCCTGGGATCAGGTGAGGACACTGACAGAAAACACGTCAGGATGACTTCAACACTTCATCCTTATCTGGACTAGTAACAGGGATATTCACAACTTCAGGACTAGGCAGTACCATATCTCCAGCTATATCATTTCCCATGATGAACTCAAACCCTTGTATAGGAAATGAGTAGGGTGCAGCAACATCAAAGACCCCAAAGATTAGCTTTGACTGGACATGCACACGATGAAGTGGGGCGGGTACGTAACCCATCTCAATGCCCCGTACTATTGCACTAGCTCCACAGGAGGTCTCAGTGCTGAGAGGCAGAAGATCAGCGAGAATGAAGGACTGCGACCCACCAGTGTCTCAGTATCCTCACTGGCCTTCCACAACTCCTGTCACCGTTTTGATTAAACCAATACGCTTGGCTTGCATCACTTGTAGAGGCTGATATTTGCGCTCGAGAGTCAGACACTCAGCGATAACATGACCAGTTTGACAGTAGGAACACCACTTGTCTGATGTTGAATTTGCAGGGGCCCCTTTTGATCGTTGGGAGTGCGAGTCAGCATTTCTTATGATTGTCTCATGTGTCAAGTAGGTTTGAGATCCCAGAAGAGCTGCCTGAAAGTTTTTGGAAGTTCTGGATGCCAAATCAAGAACCTTACATTTCATTGTAAGAGTATATTTTTATTGAAGCTTCTGAGAGCAGATCAAGATAAAAAAAAATAAATCACTGTCCAAAGATCTTTAGTTTCAGAGTAAGCTTTGACAGACAGAATTGATACCGAGCACATAGTGACATTAAATGTACAAAAGAAATGGAAATAAACTGCAGAATATATTTAATATCAATTCTCTCTAAAAACCTGCACTGCCACGATTGACCTTAATCATTTGCCCAGAGTAGGACTTCCTGTCTGAGCAGAGCTCTTGTTTTTATACAGCCAAGAGGTGATCAAAGAGAAGCAGAGAAAGAAATGGGCTTAAGGCTTCAAAGAGCTGGAACAGGGAATCTCTGAACTGAAGAGAAACACTAGGTGGTGCGTGCAGCTCTCATGCTCCAAAGACCACCTCCAGAGCTTCAGGACCATCATGCTGCTCCACCCACCAAGGACGGGACAGGAGTCAGTCCACCTTCATATAAGGCGAGAGCTGTGAATCATGCAACTGTAAGAGGTGTATGAACTGCAATATCAACTGATTTAGAAGCCAATTGGTACAGACAGATAATAGACAGTCAAACTTCCAGTGAAAAGTGTTGGTTCTCACCACAACATGTCTGGATTGAATTTTAAAGTCATTTCCTTTGTTACTTTTTGTCCTACAATGTACATGCGTTTGGTCATGCCATATACTTTCCTCTCTGAAGACCATTTTGATTGAATAAAGTCAACAAATCCTTGACAGAAAAAAAAAAAAAAACAACTTCATTCCATCCGCAAGAACTTTCAATTAAAAACCGATGTGATGGTTGAACTTCACATTAACCACACAGATCTATTAAGTTACTGGTTCAGAACACCGTTTTCCTGGATAATTGTAGCATTAGTCAAGTCAGTCTAGAAGCTGGGATCCCCTGAACGGGCTAATGCTATGCTCGGGTCATATGGCTGGAGGACAAAAAGGGACTGCAGAGTTGGTTAAAATAAGGATCGGTGACGATGACTGACTTTGGCTGATGTGAGGCCTCTATGCATGTGGAGTTTTTGGAATTTGTTTAATTTAAACTGCAAAAGTCAGACAGAGCTTTCAGATAAATTAGTTGACCCATTGAAACATTTGGAAATTCAGTTGTACTTTCAATCAACCGCTTTGTTCTAGTGTTTCTTCTGATTGAGAACAAACTACACAAACCATGTCTCACAGTATTAAGAGCTTTAATCACATTAAAAGTTATTTTCTCTTCACTGTAGAGGTCTCTCCTTCACTGTGATTGGTCCAACAGCTGTTTCCTGTTCCCACTGAGCTCCTGCAGCAACAAAACAAAAAAAACAGTTTATAAGATATTACAGCTACCCTGGACTGGATTAAATTCAAGGGTTCATTAAAATGTTACCAATAAAGGGATATCTTGTGGATCATCTAGTAAAGTTGAAGGAAAGTTTTCCATTATAAAAACAAAAAACTATAACCCATCCAACAGTAATATATCTTTACTACAATGAGAAAAAAAAAACAAAAAAAAACTAATCAATAGAACTTTCACATAAAACTGTAATTTGAACTTAATTACACACTCCTAATTATCTGAACATTAAGGTTGAGTATGTAATCTTTTAAATGCTGTTGGTACAGACATTTGGTATTTATATCAGTACAGTCAGTTCAGGTTGACCCAGCATGTGCCGAGTACAGTTTTAGTGGAAATACGGTCCAACTGGTTTTGGAGTCGACCCACTCACCTGTTCCAGTCTCGTGGCGCCCTGTTGCACAGTCTGAGTCACAGCAGCTACAGACTTGATGGCTGCCACTGGCCTCCCTCCACCTGTCAACAAAAGCTCTGCCTCTTACAATCGTTTGGAGAAAAGGTTTAAAAATTCTTTCATGTCTGTTAACTTCAGATTTTTATCACATTTTAGTGATACTGCATGATGTTCAGTGCACAAAAAGTTACATTATAGTTATGATTTCTGAGATGACAAGAAGTCTGTCTATCACCGATTTCAGATATATATATTTATCAAATAAAGTTCTTCAGTATTTCAGCACAGAAACACTATCAAGTATTGGCAGCAGATGGCATGATGGGAGTTGTATCAGTGGCGTCTCACCTGTTGGCGAATGAACAGGCCTTGGTTGTGGCATCAACAGCTCCAGCAGCTGCGGTGGCTTTCACACTGCAGGTGATGTAGATCTACAGAGACAAAGAAGGTGTTCATTCAAGTTAGTCGACATAGAAACCAACGGCTGTCTGGAAGAAAGGAAACTTAAGGTTAGAAAATCCCAGGTAAAAATCCTAATCACGCAGGAGATTCAGGAAGTGTGCGACGCGTTCGAGTCTCACCACGCCATTGTCGTCCTGCTGGAACCTGAACGCCTCCACCTGAAACTGCAGTTTGTCGTTTTGGGTCCGAGGCAGGAACCGAGAGCTGGAGCCTGTCAGCTGACTGTCAAAAAGACACCTGAACACAACAAAGAGGACCCTCAAACAACAGACTGACAAAGATTGAGAAGAATACGGCGTTTGGGAGAACATGCTGCGGTAGAGCCATGCTTGTTAAACTAGGATTCAACAAGAGTTTTTCAGAGTGGAGGTGGACTTTAAAAAAAAGAAACCACCACCAGTAAAGTAAACTCACCCGTTGTTTCCCAGGAAGACGTATCTAGGGACTGTGTCGCTATTCGCGACCACTGTGGCCACGCAGCTGTCCACCGTCACTCTGAGGGGGACGTGATGAAACTGTTTGACCGACACTTCAAACCTCATCATGTCTCCCATCAAGAACACAGCGGACGGACGAGCGTACTGCCAATCATCTGAGCGACAGAAAACAAGGACAGGAGTGTTCAGAAAAGAGTTAAACTTTAATGTTACAAGAAATCTAACATATGGTGGCTTCATAGCAAAAGACCAACTGACTGAACCTCAGCGGTGGAAAATAACTTCATGTTTTGTACTTCTCACTTTACTAAATTTATATAATAGTGAAAAATAATTCTTAAGTAATCCACTGTTGAAGTTTCATGATCTAACCTACTCGCCTGTAAGGTTTCCCTGTCATAGGAAAGCACCACCAGGAAAATAATTGATGAAGTTGGAACAAAACACCCACCAGTTAAGAGTTTGATGGAGAAGTAGAGATTTTCCTCCGAGCCTTTGGCGACACTGAAGGGACTCAACGTCGGCTGCAACAGCGAGCTGCTCACATCATGCTTCCTAAAACAAAGACAGATTAACAGCAAAGATATGATTAAACACTTCCATGCTCTCCAGAAGACCAATCGTCAAGAACCGTGTAAGGACCGAGGTAGAGCGTATAGCTAGGTAGCCGATTTACTCAAGTACTGTGCAAGTAGCATCAAATGGAAGTCAAGCTTGGCAGTTTTAGATTATACAACAAACTATTAAATGATACGTTGTAGTTTTAGCTATCAAACAATCCAAACATGAAATTCAGTTCAACGCTGACATCAAAGTGATGAACACATTAATGTTTTAATACAATTTTAACAGTGGTATTCACGTACATCTTCCATAACTGCTAAGACAAAAAAAAGATTTTGACCTCTGGTAGAGACATTGAATGTTGACTGCGACGTCTCTGGCTCGGATGATTTGACTGTCCCCCAAAGGACTGGGAGAGTAGAGCAGCGTGAAGGTGTAGATGAACGAGTCCTCAGACATCTGAAAAACAGTGACACTTATCAAATAACCAATAATTGGCACCAACTTTGTGAAACTTTTTAGCTACAGCAGTTACCATATGACAAAGTTACTGTACACCACCTGCTCAGCACCAGACAGGCTCAGTTAACAAGCCGGTGAACATGGTGGAGCATTTAGCTGCCGAAGACCAATATGTCCCTCAGGAGTTAGTGGAGACCAAAAACAGAGCTAGAAGTGATACATTGCATTCATCAGGTGGACGAAGACGCACCCGCTTCTCAAGTCAGCCAATCGATACTGAAAATGCATTCATCATTTGGGCTTTAATAAAAAAGTGAGACAATTTATGGATTAAAAAAAAAAAAAAAAAAAAGTGGGTTTATCGATTCACATAAACACTCACCTTCAGCTGGCTGCCACATCCGTGCAGCTCTGACTCGAAGATCAGGACCTGCTCTTCAGGATCTTCCCAAGCGGCAGGACATCCTCCCAGCGTGACGTCCGCAGCCAGGACAGGTTTACCCATCCCCAGCAGGTCTCTCTTTGCCTGCACCCAGACGGAGCGCTCCCCGCAGACTGCGCTGATACTGTCGGCCGCCGACGGAGCCTTTGGCTGAAACTCTGGAGGGAACTGAGGCTCCTCAGCCGGTGGCTCCGGATACCTCCAAGACAATGGTGCATGTAAAGACTGCTTCTCCTGGACTGCTGGGAGGGAAGGGTGTCATCAGTTTCATTGGTAATGCTATGAAGAACCATAGCCTGTATAAAAGTGGATCCATTAGTTTGTGGAATGCAGTTTTGAAACCTCGAGTTTGGCATTTTGGCCATCGCATCTTGATTTTTGCAACCATGTGAACAGGAGAAACCAGACAAGGACTGCAAAGGAGTGACAGACACTGTACACACGTACAGTAAACACGTGAGTGATATTGTCACCCAGCACCTCCCTTCCTGAACTCACTCCATCTGATGCTGAAACTCAACATTCAATTTCTATAAATTAAAATGTATTAAAACATTTCACTGATAAATCAACCACATTGATCATCAGATATCAAAAGTGGTCAGTGTTGTAGTGACTCCTGTGGTGTGGGTGAGGTCTACCTGTATGGCCCTGGACCGGTCTCTGATGTCCAAACCTGCCAGCAGCAGGCTTAGGGTTCCACTTGAAGTCCAGCGCTGCTGATACGGCTCCACAAAGAAGCCAGAAAAGGATTCCGACTGCCACGGCCATGTTGAGGAGTCTATGCTGTTTCCTCTGTTTGATACAAGCTCACCTGTGCACCAGTCTTATTTGTAGGGTAGAAGTTTGGCTCCGCCCACCGTCTGATTGACTTGATTGCTCCCCAGCTGGGCCTCGTTCACCTGCACCAACCGGCTGAGACTCATTTGAGCTTCATGCCAATCACACAGAACTTTAAATCTAAAGTTTGCAAATATCTATGTATGCAGTTGAGCATGGATGCTCATTGTTGACATTAAAAGAGAGTGAATTTGAGAGATTTTGCAGTGGTTTTAAAATTAGGAAGCTGATGTCAAAAATACTCTAAACTGAAGCTACAGTCCTCCTCAGCCTTCGTGACATTGTGTCAAAGATGGTCTCTGGTGCATGTTGGACGTGAACGTCCCTTTTGATTTTACACTGGTCTTCCACTGAAATACATACATGGCCATATAACAGGTTTTTGTGTGAAGCGTGTGTGTGTGTGTGTGTGTGTCGCTGGCTAATTAAGGTCCTGATGGAGTTCATCCTGTTAAAATTGTTTATGAATCATTAGAGGCAGAAAAACGTGCTCTCCCTCCTGTGTCCTCCACAGAGATAATTAGTCCAGCCAAGGGCACACTCACACTCATGCTAACACTAATACTACCACACACACACACACACACACACACACACACACACACACACAGAGGTCCTGAGAGGGAAGAGAAGAAAGAGAAGGAGACAAAAGATGGTGGAGGAGAAGATGAGGATATGTACTAAAATATATAGTAAAAACTTTAAATAAAAAGAAATATTAACAAATATCCCAAAACAAAAGAATGTAAAACATCCAAAATAACATTTGTAAAATATCGAAGGAAATTATTGGTAAAATATCTGGAGCCGAAAATCAGCAAAATATTAAAACATATTAATCTATCTGTTGAAAAAACTGAAATATTGTGTATTTTTCATTTATTTTTATGTGTTTAAAGCATGAATTGAGATTTAATAATTATTCATTATTCTGATGATCTAGTAATACAGCACATGTTTTCTTTATTTTTTGACAGAGAGAGAGAGAAAGAGAGAGAGAGTTTGACCACCATAAAACCAGTGTGCGTGTGTGTGTGTGTGTGTGTGTGTGCGGGTGTGTGTGTTAGCATTAGCGTTAGCTCGAGTCGTCTCTCTCCATTCATTGCCTGTATTAACAGCAGTAGCCTCCTGGGGCTGTTAGCTGCTCACCTTCACTGATATTAATGAGCTCTCTCTCTCTGCTCATTTCCTTTATTTATTAGCCGCTAACAGCCCGTGTGTGTGTGTGTGTGTGTGTGTGTGTGTGTGTGTGTGTGTGAACGGTTCAGTCGTTTAAGTTTAATGTTGTGATATTTTTACGCGGACGTGGCTGTTTTCTTTTCTTTCTGGAAAACGAAGCAGTTTGTTAATGATGATGATGGCAGCAAGTTTTTGGGACGACCTTGATGAAGAAGCAGAGAGCTTTTAGACGACAAAACTCTGCTATGATGAGACTCCACACAGGCAACGGAACAAGATATATTAATATATAAATATTAGTCGACTAATCGCTCGTCTTGGTCTTAAGACCAAGGTGATGGAAGAAATGTCTTAATTAATTAAGACATTTCTTAATTAAGACATCACTTAAATCTGTTTACACCATTATTATTGAGTTAACATTTCTGTGAATGAAAAGGTTAAATGTTAAAATACTGCTGGTGGCATAACGACAAGTTTGAACAGTTAAAACATTCGTACGAGAAAACCTCAACGAAAAAACAAAGAGACGTTTAAGATACGAATAAGAAAATATTCTTATATTATATTTTCTTTCTACAACAGAGACAAAGCAAGAAAAAGTAGAAAGAAAATGAAGTGTTCGGTGTAAATCCACTTAAACGCAGTGCAACATATTTTGAGAGGTATAAGGGCCTTGGACTCTCGGCAGATTTGATGGCAGACAGTTCCGGTTGTTGATGATGATGACGCTTCATGTTGTCTGACAGCAGACAGCTGTTCATCTCTGACATCCCCTCTCCAGTTTTTCATTCCTCCAGAGCTAAATTTTTCTCCTTCTTCTTCTTCCTCCCCATGGTCCTCTTTGAGCAGGACGCCTCATCTGTCATCAGCTCACAGCTGCGTCAGAACAATAATATCCCTGCCAGGCGTGATGGACAGCCGCGGCGAGGCGGAGACAGCGGCGGGGTGTCTGGACTCGGATTGAAGGTGGAGCGCCACGTTGACATTTCCATCAAAAGTCTGCTCACGACGCCTGGAGACGCTGCGTCCTCCACCTGCAATAAAACACCGCCCGGACGGATCTTCAAGGCCTCGGCAGTTGATTGCGGCGTCGCTTGTTGAGAACTCGCAGGAAACACTTCGGCTCCGTCCACACGGAGATTTATTGCATCAAAGAGTTTCTTCTCCACTTTAAAATGTATTGTCTCCGGCTCACAGAGTGACAGCTGAGGGGAGACAACTCGAGAACATATGAAGAAAATATTAAGTCCACCAAGGATCCTAATTGAAATTCAACTGGCATTATTTTCGCCCTGAGTGACACGTCCTTGAACACGAACCAGAAAGAAGTGGTTGTAGCCACCTTGAAGTCTACCAATTTGAAACCTCAGGTTTGGCATTTTGTCCATCACCATCTTGTTTTTTTAGAGCCTGAAGTGACCATATTTGGATGAGAGTGGAGCTAAGGGAAAGATACACATTGCTACACTTGTAGCATATGCCCCGCCCTAAAGAATACTCTACTGTATGGTCTATTTCACTCTTAATGACCATCATTTACGAAATGAACATCATGCTGTATAGACGAGCTTCTTGTCTACGACTTCTATACAAACGGACGTCTTTTTGCAAACAGAGGAGTCGCCCCCTGCTGGACATTAGAGAGAATGCAGGTTTAACACACTTCCACATTGGCTTCATTTTATAGAACCGTAGGCTATGTTCACTTCTTTCATACAGTCTGGCAAAGACAGCTCCATGGACCACAGAGGATTCAATGCTACAAATATGTCTCGTTAGCGACCAAGCTATAAGCTTTTCCTCCTTTTCAATAAACCTTTATTGACCCCAACCCGACAGGCATTCTGTTTTTTATGTCCGACCCGCGCCAATTACAGAAAGCTGATGTAAATAGTCACTTTCAGCACTAAAGCGCACTCTGACACAAGCTGGACCGTTCGTAAACTCAGAGTGCTGTTATAGATATCTCCTTTTTCCTAAATCATTTTATAAACTGTGCACTCCAGGGAATATCACTCCAGGGAATATCAATCAAAAGGCTGTTTGTTGTATTATTTTAAGAATTGCTTTTATCTGTTTTCGCAAATCATAACTGACGACTGGCTAGTATATTAGTGTTTGACGGTGACGGAGGTGAAGAATATGAATCAGGAATATTTTGTGAATATTTTGAGTCATAATTGCGATGATTAATATTCAGATCAGCTTCCCGTCCTTCATTAGAGGGACCACTCTGATGAAGGACGGGTAGCCGTAAACATTTTGCAAGTAAAGCAAGGTGTGATGGAGAGTCGTGAGCGTTTTCATTTTGTATTGAATATCACGCTGATCTTCACCCTGCTGACTGTGCGTGTTCTCAAAGTTAGAAGTCAGACAGACAGTGATTGGATATCTCACCGCTGCTGAAGTAATGAGCTCATTCCAGCTGACAGACTAACCTACACACCAGAATCTCATTTTGTAATAAATATCGATCCGTCGGCTGAGAAAACTCATACTCCTTCTGTCGACTCAAAGTTCACTTGAACCTTTCAGAAATGCTGAGACGCTTGATTACACAACAAGCTGCACTTTCAAAAACTTTCCCTGTTAAACTGATCAGTGCATGTGCAGAGGTCTAACCCAGTCTAGTCCGGCTTCAACCCAGTCTGAAGGGGTTTAAAGCGAGTGGAATCTGGTCTCAACTCAGTCTAATAAAATATATATAGCGCCTTTAAAAACCAGAGTAACAACATGCTTCCCAAATAATTTCAAAAACCATACAGTAATAAAGACATGCAGGGGTTTAAAGAAGTTGTCAAACAAAGAGAAATAAATGATAAAAGATGTCCTTAACTCAATCCAACCTGGTGTTAGCTAAGTTTTATGTCTAATGTGATTGAAACCCAGTCTAACCTGCTGTAAATTTAGTTTGATCTGGTCTAAAACCTGTCTAACCAAGCGTAAACCGAGTATAACTCGATTGAGACCCAGTTTGCCCTTGTCTAAACCCAGTCTTAGTGAGTCTAAACCCAGTCTTATTGAGTCTAAACCCAGTCTTAGTGAGTCTAAACCCAGTCTTAGTGAGTCTAAACCCAGTCTGATCTTGTCTAAACCCTGAGTTCATCATTGTCATCTTGAGCATGTTAGCATTCTGATGTTAGCAATTAGCTTAAAGCATTGCTAGGCCTTAAACTGTGTTCTAGAAACTCGGAACTCGAAAAAGTCCAACCCCCTACTAGAAAAAGTGAAATGAAGCTCCACACCATTGAAATAATAAGAATAATACCGTCAAACATGTGCTGCATGTGAATTAATGTCAAAATATGTTGCTTTGCTTTTAGCGAGCTGCTTTTGGTAAACGATCTCTGAAAGTGTCATGCGTCGTTTCGCCTTTGGAGAAGTCTTGAAAACATGAATATGATGAGAGAGGTGTCTCCTTTGAATCGATACTCAGCTCCATCAGTGAGCCTCTTCCACATCACTGTGACTTATTGATCAGTCGGACCCCGCAGACATCTGCAGCTGTAAACGAGCTTCAGGGGGTTTCGTGAAAGACTCTGCATCGTATCCTCAGAGGACCAGAACCAGGTCACCGGATAAACACACAGATATTTTACCTGAGTCACAGAAGAGAGATACACAAAAGTACTTTAACCCACAGTCACTCTGTGTTGAAGGATCTGATTATAAGAAAATACATGTTTGAAACCATCACCACCTATGCGGTCTCATTACATTAACTGCAACTCAAATGTCAAATTCAGCGACACACAATCCCTTTATATATTAAAAAACATCCACCGAGCAGCAT